CTTATTTTACATCATCCCTCGTGGTTCTTCTGAATAAAAACCTTGACTGGTATCATGGCATTACTAGTCCTTTCCTTCTTCAGTATTTTACTTTTTCCCGATGGATTCTGGGAATCTGAGTGGTTTGTATTTTACGAGACAGTTATGCTGGATCTCTTTGGTGGTTAATACGTGACCTATCTGGCCACTGTGGGATGTTTCAGGGATGAAGAGGCAGCTTGGAGTTGTGAAAGAGCCCTGGCTGGAATTTCTAGCCTCGATCTTTGGGTAACAGAGCTTCAGTTTCCACCTCCGTAGTGTGAGCTGGTCTGGGTGGGCCCTGAAGTCTGTGACACTGTAGTAAACGCTTCAGCAACAAAGAGGAGCATCTTTACCTGTTTGTCTCTGAGCAGTGGTCCTAGGTCTTGGTATTGACTTAAAATTTCTGAGCCCCCAAGGGAGCAATTACGAATTAGACAGGTGTGTCCACTGGCTCCTTCTTTTAAGAACCCGTTCTGCTTATCTTTGATCTGTTCGTCTATATTAATGAACACTGTCAAATAGGCCCGTATACTGCAGTCTTGTTTTATTAGTTGGAGTGGAAGGTCAGTAAAGTTGGCCTTCACCCCTTGTGTTATGCGCATATAAATGTATAATAAATGAATCGTGGGGTTAAGAGCAAGATAGTGCAGATTTCATGAAAACCTTTATAATTAGATTTCATGTCTGTTTCCCTCAAAGTTTTATATACTTGAATGAATATAGTTTTATGTATTTAATCTCTTGCCTCCTAGATGATGAACTCCTCAGAATATGACATATATTTTGAACCTAGATACCTACCAGGTGTTCTCTGCAGAGTACATATTTGATGAAATGAGTTTCGAGGACTCCCTATCCTGAGATACAGGAATGTGCTCAAGAAATGGGTTATTTATTTTGGTATTCTCTAGATATTTCTTTGCTTTTACTTCAGACTTGTGAAACAGGCTGGTAACGTTCCCCTTACATGATAGGTACTACAACCAGTTTCCAAGGTTACAAAAACTAATGGCCCTGGGAGACTGATGTGGCACTTTTGTGTTGATTAGTAAAGCGTACTTAGCTTTGGGATTTCCCCTAGTAAGACCCAAGGCAAGACCAGCAATCTTCAGAAATGAGAGCCCTGAGCAAACATGTATTAAAATTCTAGTGTGATTGGGTACTTTGTCTTCCTGATTTGTTTATACCCCAAATACACAGGACTCAGTAGGAAATTACTTAAAATGTTGATTCTGAAGATTGAAGGATGGAGTGGGGAGAAGTGAAAGTTTTTCTTGTGGACTTTTTAGGTGTAAAATTTCTCTTAATTACGAGGGAGATAATTCTGCTTTTCATTCCTCTGCTAAGAACTACATAGCGCCCCAGAGGAGGTGGTGGTATTTACTAACTTATAATGAATAACATTAAATTTCTTGCCATTTTTGACACACTAGGCAAGTACTTTCCATTCAGATGTCAGAGGGGAAGGGTAGCCAGATAATTATTCACATGCTTAAAACCAAAAGAAGATTTTATATATATATATAAATAGGCAACTAAAAAACAATCTAGTTGCTTACTAGTATAACCAGCATTTCATGTGGTATACTGGTATGTATGTGTTTCTATTACTTTTGGGAGTTTTTTCAGGGTTATCAGTGTTAGTATAAGACCTGGCAGAATTTACTGATGAGCCAATTAGTTTTTCTTCACTAATCAAGGCTCATTCCTTGAGGGATGATTTATGCTAAAAGCTTTTGTGAGCCACTTACTTTTAATCCCATCTTTGAAATGGTCATAATTCTGTGACCAGAGAGAACCCACACCATAGCTGAGCTAACCCTCTCCAAGTTGCCCTATTTGCCTATGACACTGCTTCTACTAAGTCACATTCTGTACTTGCTGTGGGACAGCATCTTTGAACTGATTCTGATGTTTTAGCTGGAATTAAACTTGTTTTTTTACATAAACACAATTTGATGTCTCTGCACATAAACTGCAACAATATGACTGACTTGTAAATATCTTCCATGACAGTACTGTAATTTTCCAATTGATTTTGCAAAACTTTAAAGATATAACCAAGTATAATTATGCTCTACAAGGATGAATGGGTCCCACAGAATGTTAGAAATAACTTACTTCCCTCTTCCATTTATAGATGCAGAAGAGTAATATTCAGAGAAGGTACCTAGACAGATTTTGTTTACTAGACCTAAAACATGCCTGCTTAATGTCAGGAAAACAAAACCAGACAAAAGAATAAGTGAATGTTTTGAGGTGAGGCTAGAAAGTTTTCATCAACTAGCCCCAGAATATATGCTCTACCCTTGACATCATCACTTTGGACACACAGGGTTTACTCCACTCTTGCCATATTTTTCTTCACATCCTCAGAAATCTACACCTTCTCTCTTTCTGCTTTAAGTCCTGGTGTAATTTTAGCTTTCAGAGCCAAACTAGCTTAAAAGCCAAACCAGACCTACTCAGGCTGGTCTTTAAGAGGCTCCAAGCTCTGCCTTTAAGTAGACAACTGGCTTGAATTTCAGGCCTTCCCAAGATCTACACTTTCTCATCCAAAGCCTCTCACTGAAATACCTGTTTCTCCTGCTACCTCCTATCTCTGGAGATCGATTTAATCCACATTCCCTTATTCTTCTATCTCACTCCTGCCTGTTTTTCTGTAGGGTCCCAGCCAAAACAGCTTTTCTAGTGCTAGCTCACCCAGTCCAATCCTTGCTTTTAAGTTTTCTTAAATCCAATTTCAATTCAGAAGCTTTTTACAAACAACTTCAATGAGGTCATCTGTGATTGTCTTTATAATCATTATGCCATCTGCTTTTACAGAAGGTAAATACTTCATTCCTTTAATGCATATTTTTATTAATTGAGACTAGGCTTTTAGTCTTGTAAGTCATATCCAGTGTCGTAATCAGAGTAGTCATCAACATGTACCTGGCAAGAGTGGACATCACATCTTTAATCATCATCCTTCCTCAGTTTTACCCACAAGAACGATAAAAATTATTTGCATATTACATTATGATGTACCACAAGTGTGTAGCTCCTGTACTTGTGTGCTCTGGAATTAATCAGAAAATACCAAGCGCCTTAGGTTTCTATACTGTAGTGTGCATTTGGTATACACATTAAAGAATGAAGGCGGGCACTAAACTGTTAGCTAATGATCCAGTGTTTCTTGTGAACGACTGAGCACATAATGTCTATGATGACACCACCACTTCTTTTGAGCTAAATCCTCATTTACGTGAGAATAGCAGATCAGGTTCCACTTCGGATTCTTTTGGCAACTTAGAGGTTACTGTTCTCACCAAGTTTATAACTGCAAAGAGAGGTTCTTTCTCATTTATGTATAAACAGGTACCAGTTTTCATTTTATTTCATCATATTAACATACATGACATCAAAATGAGAAATGCACAACTTAACCATTCAACAGCTTGCCATATGCCAAAAGAACACTATATTCATATTAAACATTTATACAGTCTTTCCACCTAACTTTACAAATGTCCTAAACCATTTTCCAGCATTTCTCATGTTAGTCTAGTTTTGCTCTTTAAAATCACCTTTCTGTATCATCCTAGTAGACACCAGGGCTTCCCCTACAATTGCGTGAGGGCAGCCCCCACAGCGCCGCCCACAGGTGCCAGGCTTGCCTCTCAGGCTGCCCCTTCTGCACGGTAGTCTTGATTCCAAGAACTGATTATTTGACCTTAGTGGTCAAGGACTAAAGGTTGTATGTAGTGTATGACTACATCACAGTTACAGGAAGGAAGGGGACCGTGGCCCAGAGAAACCCTAAATGATACAAGGCAGATTTCTGCCCAAAGATCTCGTAAAACCAAGTCTCCCAACCTTCCTGAAACATACTTAACAATGGCCCTATTGCTTTCATTTAAGAACGTTGCACAGATGTGACCAGATTCTGGTGTGTGTACACATAACATCAAAAATTACTGTGTGAAACCTTGAGGATGTTTGATTACATCAAAGACTTAAATGTATACATAAAAACTCAGATCATTTAACACAGCTTTTTCTGTATGGTAACGACGTACTCTATGCGGTTTACTCTCATCTGCCTTCATTTGATACCCATGTCATAGCACATTATTTGTACATAACCAGTTATGTCTGTGAAGCTCATAATCCTCATGATCAAGTCAGTTTTGAATCATGTCATTCTATCTGGTTTTAGCAGTCACCATAGGAAACATTAAGTCACATCCTAATCAAAGGACTGTCCATTTCTCAAACATAGAAAAAAACCTGAGATATGAGTCAGCAACTAACTACACTTAACAGTAAAGAACAATGACAGTGCCCATGCCGCACCCCCACCCCCACCCCCACCCCCACAAGCTGCTGACATGAATTAAGGCTTCAAAAGAGGGCCTTACTGTAGTTGGTAAAACTCAAGCCAGGAAGTTTAAAAGCAGGTATGTACTATTATTTGTGTACTTGCTCTAATTACCTCCGATTTGCAGGATTGATTCCATACAGTGATTGTAGGTCAGGAACCGAGTAGCCACCTTGCTCTTGCTCTACTCAAAACACACTGCCGATGGTTTTTCAAATAGCTTGGCAGTGGCTTTCTGCCCGACTCATCGCTAAAGAAAACTCAGTGCCTTCTCATCACCTTTACTGTTTTATTCTGAATATTCCCTGCTTACTAAAAGCCTATCTCTCAGCCCTATTTAGTACATTTAAAAGTCTGAGGAAATTACAGAAATACCACCCTCATCACATACCGAAGGGGGAAAAGCTATGAAGAAATAGTCTCCTGCTTCTCCTCAGCAACTTTTACCTTCCTTATTCTTTCCATAGTTTTTCTTCTCTCGTGGTAGTTTCCTATAAAATTTTGCCTTATTGTTACATTTTTACACACAATGAAATGAAAAACATCTACTTTGGCCGAGAAACTAAAGGTGCTACTGCTCTGCTACCAACTCCAATAAATTCACATTGGGCTTCACACCCAGTTAACCTTTATTTAAAGGATTGAACATTCCCATCTTAAGCAATTCTTTGATTTATAAAGGAGGAGGCAGGCTTGTTTAGCCTCCCAACCTTAGCTTAAATCATATTGCTGCCATGTTCCTGGCTGTTGTTGAGGCCTAGGTGGTTCCCTTCTTTTTCTTCATAAGGTTGAGAAGAAAAAACATAGCCCCATCCAGGCCCAACTGGAATTTTGTGCAGAGACAGTTTGAATTGGTCTGGAAAGTGTGACTTGCTACCTACTTACTCACCTATTCAAGCCTAGAAAACGGTCTACCAGACACGGTAGTGGTGAAAGCCCCGACTCTCCTGTCTGAGGTACTAAAGTTTGTTCTAAAGTAGATCTTGGCCAGGTCCCTAACGGTCCGTCCAGCAGAATGATGCTCACACCACTCAGCTGTCGGGTGAGCTTGGATTTGTGAATCAGCTTGGGAAATGATCGTTTCTCTTGGATTTACCATTAGGTTCTGTCCCTAACAGGGTCTGCCCATCCGACCCACACGCTGGCTCAGTCTCAGCACTAAGGTGCACTATGGAAGGGACTGGACAAAGACTAATATTTGAGATCTCTTTGTAGCACAATATGAAAATGGTAGGGGATTTTGTCCTCTAACACCAAATAAACTTGCTTTTATAACAAGAGGATATACTGTTCAATGAACAAAATTGTTTCCTCCACCTAGGAGCAATTCTAGCATTGGCCCTTCCACTTTTGTTGAGGGAAATATTAACTGATCTCTCAAATGCAGATGTTGAGAGGACAAGTGTGTTGATCCATCTTTTGTTTTTACACCATAGCTCCATTTTCCAAAAATATATATGTATGTACATATATATATATTTCAGATTTACAGGGAATATTTTTTTGTGAACAAGAAAAGAACTGTCAGCAGAAGCCATGAGAATCTTTCTTCTCAGGAGACCTCAATGATTTCCATGCTGCCGGAGAAGCTGGACTGACTGCCCACTTTCCCCAGTTCTTCTCGCGACCTGTTCTCCGACATGATGCTCTCTCCAAACTCCATTTGGCAGCTTCTGCGTTTAAACTGCTTTTCAAAGGGGCTCTCCTCGTGCCAGCTCCGCCGCGAGTCAGCTCTGTCACTTGGCTTCTGCCGCCTGCGCACAGAATAGACTTGGTCGCTGCACGTGGGCAGCTGGCTGCAGCTGTAGGCAGAGTAACTGGCACTGCCTCCGTAGATGGCCGAGGCAGAGTAGAAATGAGAGGAGTCCGTGGCAAAATACCAACTATTGGTCAAGGAAGGGGTAGAGGTCTGGGGAGCCAGGATATCTGAGTGCCAGCCCTTGAGACCCAGCCCAGCAGCAGACTTCGTGAGGTGCTGCTGGCTGGTGGAAAGGCCAAAAAGGAAGTTGGTGTGGTAATTGTCTTCCACGCTGCCACTCCGATGCAATGGAGATAAGAAGGACCTTTGGTTGGCGCCACCGCTGCTGGTTCTGACTGAGTGTGGTCGCTTGCTCTGGCTATCTGAAGGCCTGGTGGTCTGGGGCTTCTTGGGGATGTTGGCTTCCTCCTTATCTGGGCTGGTTTCTGGAGTCTGCTCTGATACTTCCTGAACTGGGGAGAACTGGCATAGCTTGTTGGTCCCATCCAGAGCAGTGGAAGGTTTGTAGTATTCCAAAGCATCCTCTGACGAGGAGAAGCCATGTAAGGATGCTGTCATACTGGCTGAATATGAAACTGATTTAATATCCAGAGAGAAGGAACGCTTGAGCTTATTGCTGTCTTCCAGCTTGTCTGAGGACAGGTGGAGCCCATTGAGCGCCTGTACCAGGGGGCTGTCCTCTAACAGTGATGGCTGCATGCTGGGCACACTGGCAGGATGCACAGGCCTTTGCCCTGCTGCCTCTGAGGTAGCAGAGTTGGCACAGGGTGGACTAAAGGACATTTCGCTTTTCTGTCCACCCTCTGAGACTGCAGGGACAGGTTCATTTGGCTTCTCCAGGTGCAGCAGCTTGAGTTTGCTTTTTGGCCCTGATGCTCCAGTCTGGTTCTTAATCTTCTTCTCATAGTCTAGGAGTTGGCCCAGAAAATTGAAATTTGGAGATATAGTTGGTCTTTTTTCTTTCACAAATCTATGAAGAAAGAAAAAAAAAACAAAAACAAAATACCTGAATTCTATACCTACACTTTACCTTAAGAATATTAAGTGGACAAATGGTATAGACAGAACTTCCCAAACACCTTTGGAAGATGACTGTTTAAAAAGTTTATTACCTGTCCCGGGAGCATGCTAGAGAGAGGGGTCAGGCTCCAAAAGCTCTAGTTTTAGCTTCCTTACTTTCAATGACCCAAGGCTTCCAATGCACGTGGTGGTAAGAGATGATTCTCTGCTCCCCCACTCCCGACACACACAGCAGTGCTACCATCAGAAATGCAGTATAATAGCCAATCTTCAGCTTCAGTTTTCCAATGTCATCCCCTCTCAAAGTGCTCAGTCACTTCTCAAGACATTTCACATTTTATATTAATGACAAAGAAAAACGGAATCGGATGGTCAAAGTATCAAAGGAACATTTCTGAGTTTCTTCTTTTTGTACTCAACATGGCAGAATAACCAGCTAAAAGCGGCCTCTGTGTGTTAAGCATTATACTAATGCATTTAATTATTTATTTAAATAATTACCTCAAAACCACCCTGTATCAATCAGGCGGGTGTAATTATGGCCATCATATAGGCACACAAAAGTCCTTAAGTGACTTGTCTGAAATCATACAGTTATTGAATGATAGTGCTGGGATTAAAAACCAGGTCTAATGTCTGGGTCCATTTTTGTAACCACCATGTTGAAAGCGATTCATCAAAGGATAAAAATAATAACTGACAGCTTTTATATTTTATTGAGGAAAAAAAAGAGTCTTAGAGCTAGTAGACAAATTCTTCAGTGGCCCCTGAACTTCACATAGGTACTCTTCAGATGATGCAGGAATAAAACTACATTGAAAAGCTGCATTTGTTTAAGGAAGAGAAGAAAAAAAAAAAAAACCTTCATGGAAATCGAGTAACCCAAAGCAAATTAACAAAGCCAGAAATCACAGGCTCAGCTATAACAAGCATAAATGTAGGGTCCTCATGAGACTTGGTAACATGAGATAAGAGTGCCTTTTCGTCTGGTTTCTACATGGAGCAGGAGGACCTTAAGGAGAAAAGCCTGAATGGAGGGCGAGGTTGCCAGTGCAGATAAATGGAGGATCCATCCACTCCAGTCTCTTTCCTCACATTTGGAAGCTGTTCAGGTAGCTCATTTCTTTTGTCCAAATTTCCCAATTTGAGAAAAAAGTTCAACTGTTAAAACAGGCCTGCTCCCTGTGTTTAAATATATATATATATATATATATATATATATATATATATTTTTTTTTTTTTTTCCTGTGTTTATATTTTTTATCACATGAAAACTAACAACCTCTACCCAACAAGGCGTGCAGGGGACTCAGATACATCAGTCACTAAACAGAACTCCAGTCCTGGGCAGTAAGGCCACTGCCTGCCTTCCATTTTAAAAAAAGGGGGAGGGGGTACCCAGTCAAAATTATACACAGTAAAATCTGGCCAACTCTAGAATGTAGGAAATTTTACTCAATGAATGGAGTTTGATAGTTATCTGAGTTGCAATTAGAACAACTGATACTTCCCCAATTAGGGAAAGGAATAAATTCATATAATAGAATAGAGATCTCTACCTAGATTTGTTGTTTCTTAAACTTAAAAAGTAGCTGAGAATGTGTACCCCATAAATATGTACAATTGCAATGTATCAATTAAAATAAATTTAAAAAATAAAATTTAAGAAAAGTAGCTGAGAATGAATCTGACATGACAGCAGAATTAATACTAAATAGTAAAACTGAATTATTTTCCAATCTTTGCAAGACCCCAAAATCCACAGTAACCTATAAAGAATATGACTAAAATAATCATCTGCTTTAACCTGGTTACCCACTCTCATATGTCTTCATGTTTCAGGTCAAATGAAACATGAAACAAGCCAATCACACAAGACACGTTCCTGCCCTCACCTGTAAGCTTCATCTAAGGACATGTCCATCCTCTTCATGATGTAGGCGATAGCGATGGTGGCGGAGCGGGAGATCCCAGCTAAGCAGTGCACGAGGACACAGCCATTTGAGGCTTTTGCTTTCTCTGTATGAGTCAAATTCAAGAAAGATCACTAATAGCAATTTTGTTCAGCAGTGAAATCTTGTTTCCATTTACTTAGTGTCTTTCACCTGAAAACCTCAAAGCAAATCTCATCTATTTACATATTTCTCCTTTCAATATTCTTCTGAGGAGGTAAGAGAAGATAATTTCCTCACCACTGACATACAGGACAATCAAGGTCCAAAAGTGTTAAGCAATTTGTTACTAACTCAGGTTGCCTGACTCTTATTTCAGTACTTTTCATTGTGTATTTTTTATATCATTTATTATTTTAATAAATTTTCTTGGGTATAAATCCTACATTGTGATTATATGGTTCTACTTGCTTAGTACAGAAAATTTCAGAAATCCAGAAAAGTATATAAAGAAGGAAATAAAAGCATCCAAAATCCCACACCTATGATATAGCTAATATTTTGTTTACTCTTATTATCTGACACTTCCATTTTTTTCCCTAATTACATAAGAGATCATATTAAATTTTTAAAAATCTGTTTTCATTTCAAATATATGTGACATACATTACTATTTAAAAGGGGGTGGGGTGTGGGAGAGGGAGAGACTGGATCACAATATCACTTCACAACACAAGAAGATGTCTGACAAAGTTACTTTTCAAATGCTGAAACTCAGAACCTGTCTTCATATGAGTTCTCTATTTTTCTTTAGAAAACTTGTGTGTGATAAAATGGCTCAATTTACTTGCTTAATTTAAGAAGAAAACCATGTATATACTATGAATCAGATTTACCAGGTCACTTTCATGAAGACCAAAAGAACTTTTATCTCTTCCTTGATACCCAGGAGTTAGTGTCTTATTGCATCACTTTAATTTCCCATAACATGGTAGAAGGACACGTGAACATGTTGTTAGAACCAAAAAACCATGGAGATTCAAACAGTGCTGCCCTCTCTCACTGTCGAGTGGCTTAAAAAGCTTACATGTGGAAATGGATGGAAGCAACGAATGTTTTAACCAGTACTATGACTGCCTCAATTCTAAACAATTACATGTGTACACAGCCATGAAACTATATTCTTTCCTTTTCATTCTTGTTTACAGTTGATAATATCAAAGGTTTACCAAACCTTACGTTAAAATTCTTATACTTAACAGATATGTAAGGAAACTGCTTTGGCAGTTGAATAATACAAGCTACTCCAATCTCACTGCTTATGTTATAAATATTATACATTTCTAGAATATATGATTTATAATTGACTCATTAGTATAAAACACAGGGGTTTTCAATAGTTTATCAAGCAGCTTCCCTTCTAGATAGGGAAACCAAGCACAGTAAAATAACAAATGAACACTGAAACAAAGAACTAAGTACTATACAAAAGAATGATGTACAAAGCCATGTACATAAGTCTCACGCTTACACAGTTCTCTTCTCTCAACAATACAGTTTACCCTGTACGACTCTCAGTATTTCCCCTTTTGCTTTGCCTACTAAGAAACTCAAAGCTAAGGTTTTTCACTCAATTTCAATAGGAAATAGCAATTCACACTTTCTATCATACTTGTACCTTTTTTTGTCCCATATTACTTGGTTCTTGCTCTTTTATCTCATTTTAATGTGTATGTGTGTGAATATGTGTATCTTTTGATCCCAATCTGTTATTGTAAGTAACCCTTACTGAAAGTAATCGGGTTTAAGTTTTTTAATGTTGACAATACTCTATTTTTAATAATTATCTCAAAAACTAGATGATAAGGACCTAGAAGGGTCTTGCTTCTAACATTCTCCCAAAGGATCTAATACTAGGCACATAGTATGCACCCAGTTAATATCGGCTGACTGATGCATATTTTAAAAAGCAATCTTTATAAAAAATTTGCAACAGGTTGGAAGGAAACAAAACAATTTGTGTTGCAATATTGAAGTTTCCTTTTCTCTGTTTTTCAGATTTTCTGCATTGTGCCGCCTATACTGTTCTTACAACTGCAACTCTTGATGATGTATTTAAAAAATCAAATTAAAAAGTGGTTACAGGGCCGGCCCGGTGGGTAAAAAAAATCTAAGCTTAAAAAAGGGGAGAGAGGTCTGAAATGAAAAGCGTAAGGACCATGTGAGGATGAGAAGTTACAAAGGCTAAAAAGAGGGAAGTAATAACCCAGTGAGGTTATAGAGTACAGCTTTGGGGAGAGGGAAAAAAAGGAACTTCTTGTAACAATTTTTAAAATATTTATTAAGAGCCAATTATGAGTCAGGTACGTTGCAAGGTATTCAATGCACATATATTATCTATTTTGTTCCTCACAATACCCCTGTAAGGTAGGTATATAATCTTTAGTTTCCAGATCAGGAAGCTGAAGCACACAGAAGTTTTAAGTAACTTACCCAAATCCACTTCACTAATAACCAAGGAAGGCAGGACTCAAATACTGACAGTTTGGCCCCAAAGTACATGTTCTTAGTCACCTCTCTATAGGTTATCAAGTCCAGGTATGGGGGTACATCTTCAAATTACATTCTCTGCTGTGACTAACCATGGCTTAAAATGAGAATAGCAACAATGACAGTGAATAGGGTCTGGATTCAAAGTGGGCTGAAGATTTTACCTTGAATTATTTGGGTGGGATAAGGACAGGGGCTCTAGTAAACAAGACCAAGCAAATGAAATACAGATAGTAAAAATATTTACAGATAATTACAAATATATTAGGGTATGTGTTTGTGTGTGTATTTAACCAAGTTGGAACATGATAAAGTTCCTTTTGTATGAAAGAAAAGTGGCGTGATGATCCCATATCTCTCATAAAAGAAGAAAATAATCTGGAAGCAAAGTTATTCACATTCTCTCTTTTCTACTAACCCCTTGTAAAGCTTAGATACTGTCATGACTTGTTGGAATCAGGTTCTCTTCTAGATAGATCCTGAAATTGCACTTTTTAGCTGAAGTCAGAGCCAAATGTCTCTGAATAAATATGACATGCAATGGGAACATTAACCATAATTATGTTTTGAAGAAGGCAAAAACAGAATGATATGTTGAATATTTCAATGTACAATGGGGGGCATTAATTTTTGACTTGGTGGTGTCAGCACCATGCTCTCCCAAGTGAGCCATGGGCCAACCCTAATTTTTGGAGTTTTGTTTGTGATTATTTTAATGTGAATTGTCGAAGTCATTTATTTTTGGATGTTTCACAGAATGAGTCTTAAATGAAGATGAAAGCCCTTGGCAATCTGCGCCCTAATTTTTGGAGTTTTGTTTGTGATTATTTTAATGTGAATTGTCGAAGTCGTTTATTTTTGGATGTTTCACAGAATGAGTCTTAAATGAAGATGAAAGCCCTTGGCAATCTGCAAGTGTTGAAAAAAAAGAGAACTGCTTTGGAATTACTCAAAGCTCCAAAAGCATTACCGAGGAAATTCCTCCCATAGATGAAAAACATAGCAAGGGAGGGGGCTTAATTTACGTAATTTCACTTAAAAAAAAAACAAAACTAGTTCTTTTATTTTTAATTAACCAATTGGTTTTAAGTAATCAATTCAGAGTATGTAATTATGGGTTAGAGTGCTCAAACTTATGTGACTAGGGGAAAAAACAACACAAATTCCTCACGTGGAACACTGAGAGTCCCCACCTGGTGACACTGCTCAGGAGCTAGCAGTGCTCCTCCTCTGTTCCCACTCTCCACTAAAGCCATATTTCAATACCCATCACCAATTTATGACCAGCAGACCTGATCCTGCAGCACCAAAATGTCACAACAGCACCTAAGAGTCAGAGAAACTCCAGAACTGAATAGGCCCAGAAGCAAAACAAGGTATGGTGCCAATCAGATGCCGCCACAACCCCTGACAAGGAAATGACCGCAGGCGAGCCAGCGAGCGAGCATGCGTGCGTGTGTGCGGTTTTTATTAGATACAGTGCTACTTGAAATTATTGGCACATGGACTGTGGCTTAGAAGTCTTTGATATAAAGACTTTATTTTTTTTTGCTGGCTGGTATGGGGATCTGAACCCTTGGCATTATAACAGACATAAAGACTTTAAATGTAATGGGATTTGTATTCACAGGATTTGACCTTTCTCTGGGGAAAACATAGCAGCAAGGTAATAGGGAGTATCACCCAAGTTTCCAAAAGTCTTTTATAAAAGGGGGTAGGGGGGCAGAATTTAACCCCAAATGCTTAACTGATTTTCACACACTTGCAAATACATAGTCACAGATTCTATAAGACTTAACATTGGTACTGTTAAAAGTTAGCTTGGATTTCACAAGGCTGGTCCCTTAGGGACAGCATGGCACACATGTCACGTTGACCATTAAGTGAGTAAGCAGCACCATGTGTTATTTTCAGACTTTTGAAATCTCTGAAATAGGCTCATTTTCTCTAAAGAAAAAAAAGGTGTGGGTGTGTGTGTGAGGGAAGGGGTACAATTATACATGAAAATGTAACCTAAAGGACTCATAATATGATTTGAGCTACTTACCAATAAAATCTACTGATTTGTCCAACCACGGCAAAATTTTCTCACAAAAGCTATCATTCACAGGCACTCGCAGGAAATGAGACTCAGGGATAAAGTCAGGCTTTGGACAGGTATTGCTGGCATTTAACACATAACCAATCCCATTCTGTTGCATCAGCTCCTACGGAGGAAAAGAGCAATTAAAGTGATTAACAATAGACTAACATGATCATTTTAAAAGAGTAAAGTTTAATGTAATGACAAAAATTACCAGTTCCCTTGAAATAATCAGAGTTCATTCACATCAGTGAAATACAAAAACCCAGCAAAATAACATTTAGAGACTTAAGTCTAGAGCAAAAAAATTTTAAGGACAAAAAAGGCTGTTTAAAATAGTATGCCTGAAGACCACACACCATGAATATACTTAATTTTGTATTATCTTCATTACTAAAGAGAGAAGCAGAAAAAAGAATACAAAATAAAACAACAGTTGATATGATTTTAGAATATATACACACACAGGAACATTTTCTTCCCACACCAAACATGCTGTTTGTTCTCTAAGATACAGTCTAAATACTCTCTTTGAAGGCTGTGTCTATTTCCATAGCTTTAATTATCACTTCTACATGCTAATGGCGCACGTTTGTGTGTGTGTGTGCGAGCGCGCGTTATCTCCTCTTAAATTTCCAACCCATAGTTCAACTATCTACTGGATATTAGGATGTTTCACATGCCCTTCAAATTCATAATGTCAGAAACTAAACACATTACTTTTCTCCCTTCTCTGCCCCAAACTCCTTTTTCCTTTCTATAATCCCAAAACTGGTTTACAGTGATAACTAATCCACCCAGCTAGGTGATCTAGAAAATCATTTGGCCCCTTTCTCTTCCTCATGACCTCCATCCAAATGGCTGCAAATCCTTGTGGTATTACCTCTTCCATTTATCCTCCTCTCTCTACTCCTATTCACTGCTCAATAGTTAGTCCTCGCCAAGATAGCTAAAAAGGCCACCAAGGAGCTCTGGAAGTTCACAGTTTTTCCCTCCAATCATATTCTGAGCAACTAATCTTTCCTGTAACTGAGTATGGACTAAGTGCTTTATCCACACTCTTTTAATTTCATTATGTCTCATTTCCTGCTCCTGTCCCACACAACCCCCCAACACCAACACATGTACTCCCACCCTTCTGCGTTTTGTTCACACCATTCCTGTGCTTAGATATCCACACTCTTTTAATTTCATTATGTCTCATTTCCTGCTCCTGTCCCACACAACCCTCCAACACCAACACATGTACTCCCACCCTTCTGCGTTTTGTTCACACCATTCCTGTGCTTAGAAGGCCCTGTCCCTCTTCCTGATGACTCTCTTCCCACTTCTCCCACTTGTTTCACCTTGTCTATCAGCTCCTTCCCACTGAGGCATAACTGACCATTCTGTTCTCTGAACATCCAAAGGACTTCGCTCACACATTAGTAAAGCACCTAGCGTGGTGTGTTATCATTAACAGATAACTCTTATCTCCCCTACTAAATAGTGAAATAATGAGTGAGATCTTGGACCGAGCCCTGCTTGTCTTTCTACCTGCAGTACCAGGTATGCAGCTGCACTCAGTACGCGTTTGCTCAGTTGACACTCCATCTACCACTTATGAGGCAAGCTGCACAATCCTGCTTCAGCTAGTCATCCCATTGCTGCCTCTCAGAAAATGTTCCAAGCCTAGGATAATTGTTATTCTAAGCAACCTTGGCCATATTTCTTCCTTTTCATGGAATGCTGTCCTTTTCTACAAATCTTTTTCAACTGCCTGAAAGACAGTTGGTAATTTTCTTCCTATTTTACCCTCCTGAAACATGCCTGTTCCCCAATATCTTCATTTACCACATTTGGCACAATAACTACATTTTATTTTACATAAAAGGTGGATAGCATATATCCAGACTCTGTATGCAGCCCTCTCTCACCTCTGAGATGACAACGTCAAGAAACAACTTTTGGGACTAGGTGGGCTTCTTAGATTCAACAACACCCTTCAGCTGTGCCACAGCCCAAGGCTTCAATGTTCTCCTATGCTTTGGTTAGGCTGTAAAGATCTTATAATGGTTTTTACCACAGCATTTAAACTTACGTACACGTAGCAAAGGTTACATCTATTTTTCTATAGATGAAACAAAGCTACCGAGTTCATCTCATACCATATGATCAACCACAGGGTACAGAAGTATCCCCCATGTAAGAATGGAAAAGGCTTTTCTCGCCAATGGTCCTTAAAGGAACCACGTGATATTTCTTTCTCCTTTCCACCAAGCGTACTACTGATTCAATAAAGTAAAGGGAAATAGTAATATTTCTTCCCACCCAATTCAATAATGAAGACATCATAGAAATTTCTGAGAAAAGAAACTACAGTGTTATCTACTATACACAATCAAAAGACAATAGGGAATTCTCACTAAGCACAAAACAAGTTGCAAGTCAATGATGACTGTCCAATTTGGTTTCCCATGCAAAGAATATAACAATGTATACCTCTGACAAGTAGCCTAATAACCTACATTTTAGAAAAACTACAATTTAAATCAAAAAATATTTTTTGAGCACTTTGTTAGAGGCCTATTAATAATATAATATTATGACACATGGTACAAATTGAGAAAATATCTAACATTTAATGAATGTCTACTATGTGCCAGGTACTGTGCTAAGCGTTTAACTGGATGGTCTCATTTAATCCTCACAACCACCTTTGATGTGGGTACTATTAATATCCTCACGTCACAAATGAGGAAACTGAGGCTTAGAGAGGTTACATAACATTTCCAAAGCCACACAGGTATCAAGTGGTATAGAGTTAGGATTCAAATCCAAACACATTCATCTCCAGAATCTACCCTGTGAATCACCATACGCTGCAAATTTAAGTTCATTCTAAAGCAAATTAGACGGAGCAATAAAATAAGTAGCCTACACATATGTATATATTTTTAAATAAAGTATTAGAGTGTAAAGTTTTAATTTCATTCTTTTTTGTCCTTTTTAACTATAACAAATTAGAAGGCAAAGTTGTGAACTTCTGGTTGTGAACTTCTTTGAGGAGAATTTGGGAGTAACTCAGGCCACTGGATGGCTATTGGAGAGGACACTTGTCCAGGTCATATTTTGCCCTCTCTTTTCTCTTCCTATCACCTCAGTTGCAGTCCCAGGCACTATTATGCTGGTCTTTCTGC